TGGTGCTTGCGTTCAGTCCTGACTCAAACCCAGACTGAATAGGGAATTCAACAGTCAGTGTCACAGTAGCCCCTCAAATTAAGCTGTTAAACCACCCAAGGATGAGGCCTAACCGAATATCATAACTGCAAACCTGTGGCATTAGTGGCAATTTTAAATTAATTCCATTGATTCCAAGAGAAAAACAGTTGTCTAGTGTAATCATACTAGAAAAATCTACCACTCCCCCTGAAGACACAAAACAAACAAACCTCCTCAGTCTTTAGAACATTTTCCTAGAGTCAAATTCATACTATTTTCCCTTCATCTTTTTGTTAAGACCTTCTGGCATATTCTGTGGCAGAATGTCTAATATTACAATTATTTCAACCAGCCAGTGGTAGAAATTTGCATGGCCTATTGTACAGATATTATGTATCTTGCTGCTGTAAAAGAAAGATCAATAGCAATATAGAAAGCTCACTTTTGAAGCTATTTCTTGTTGCCTCCTTTTTTATTTTCCAAATTTAAATAAAGCCACTGATGTTAATACATCCTGCTCACATTTTCTATTCCTTAATAGTAGTGTGAATTGGAGTCTATGCCAGCTTTTTAGACTACTCCACCATTTGAGCTCATAACTAATATTTTGAGAATTACTGGTCCTGCTTCCTCTACCACTCATGCTAATTTAAAACTGATGAAATGCAATTGGTTTAAGAGAAGAAACTCTTGATTTATAGTAACATATAATAAGAGAAGAACGCAGACCATCTATTTCATGTAACTTGGCATGAGTGTGGTGAAGCTCTGCTTAGCCCCAGCAGCCCCTGCTACATCCCTATAGACTAGTAGTAAGGAAACTTCAAGATTTCATTATCTTCTTGTTTGGTATTATTTTTCCCCTTCCTTCAAAGTGTCACATAAAGAGATCTTGTTCTCATGGACTTGTCATTCAGTTTGTTCTCTTGCACCTGGGTTCAATGTTCAGGTTCACCTGACCCTTCAGGATATCTTAACAGGAAAGGAAGAAATTAGAAAAAATTTGAAAGTAAAAATTTAGTTTAAAAGGAGTTACTCCTAAACAATATTAACAACATTAATTACCTGGAAAGCCACCTGAGCAGCAGACTCTCAATTAGCTTCCCCAGGCAGGCACAAAGAAAAGCAGGAAACAAAGTACAGTGGGGCAAAACTGTCATGATGAACAGGTACCGCACAGTGTGACCAGAAGTCTCATAGCGTGATACGTTTTCTTAATGTGTTTCAAAAAGCTCAGCCCTTTAAACAAGTCACTTGGCTACAAGAACACTGACTGCCTAACACCTCAGAGGAAAACAACTCTAGCAGGAAAACACACTCAGCTATTTCCTTGGTATTTTTTTTATATATATATATAATAAAATGTCTATTTGAAACTACTTGGTTGAAGTTTTACACGTAAGTGTGATGGAGTTATTTTCACACATAAGAGTGCAAAGGGAGCTTGAAACCAGTAAAGATTATTTAGTGCATATATCCACTGTTTATATTATTCATTAATTTCTGGGAAACTAACCCTAAAGGGTTACAACAGAAATGGGATGTTTCTGAAAGAATTTGAAATGAAAGAGGTTGCTTATTTGAGCACACGAGAGGAAGACTGCTATAGCTGAACCTGAGTAAAGCAAAAGCATTTAAACATATGCTTAAAATTAATTTAAATCCATTGTTGAATCAAGCTTTCAGAGGTAACTCAGAAGGTAGTGCATGAAAACTCAAAAGGTCCAGAATTTTGCTTAGCAAACCAGAAATAGAGATGCTTGAATGAGCCTATGGAACAAGTTGCATGGTGCGTAGACTCTCAGCTTATGCTCTACAGATAGTTCCTATTTGTGCCGAGAAGCTGCTGTTTTGTCAGTTTCTCCGGCTTTGTCCACATTCATAAAATCACTGAGGTCAAATGGGTTCAAAACCAGAATTCTTTAAAGTTGATGAAACTTTCATACCCGTGAAAAGTCGATATATGTACTTCAGGATTGTCAAGCGTTCCTCATTTTTGAACAACAATAAAGACAAAGAAAAAAAAAACCACCATCCAAAAAAAGAGTTTGAGGTCTATATCAAAAGGTAACCAGGAATATTTGCATGGGTAGGCAGGTGAACGCATGTTCTAGCGTGTGCCAGCTGCGGCCGGTGCAATGGGAACAGCAGCACGCCTCTCACCCACCCCGGCACGCCGCGGTAACAGCGAGCGGGAGCCGAGCGGAGCTCTGGGCTGAAACCGGGCTCCAGAAGCCCCGGCAGGCCATAGGTAGACGGCCAAGAGGCCGGCCCTCAACCCCGCGCTGTGGCTTTCCCCGCCGCCGGGAGGCGAGGCGGGCGCTGCCGCGCACAGCCCGCACCGCCCCGAGCGGAGCGGCCGCCGGCGCCCGGCAGGGGGGGACGGCGGCTCCGGCAGCGCCAAAGCCCGCCCCGCCACCCGCTCCGCGCCCGCGTACCTGGATCATTGCCTCGGCCTCTTCTTGCGCCCCGCGGCGGCGGGGCGAGGCACGCAGCTTCCTCCCGCGGCAGGCCAGGCTTGCCTGGCCGCCCATGGGGCGCGCCCGGCCGCTCCCCGCCTCCAGCGCCGTCCCGCAGCTCGGCCCTCTCTCCGCTCCTCACCCCGTCGCCGGCAGGCATGAGCCCTTCGCCCCTCAGCGGCCGTACTGAGTTTCCCCCGGCCGATGGGAGCTTCCCGGCCTGTCACCCGTTCGGCCGCTTTCGAAGCCCCTTCCCCCTCCGCTTCGCCTTTTGTTATATCGGGCTCCCAGGCTGACCACAACGTGCCACCTCCGGGGGAGGGGGGGGGCGCGACAAATCAGAAAGCCGGGGCTGAAAACTGTCTCCAGCTGGAGAAAGTTAGCGTTCCCTACCCCTTATGGGAGGGGTTTTGGATCACTGAGTGGTATGGATACAATAACAACGAAACTAATAACTTGCAAAACAGTCTGCTTCGGACGGTGCGCTGCTTTTCTGAAAAGAAAAGCAAACTTTCCAGCAGTCTGTCACGAAAGCAAGCTGATAGTACCCAAGTAATTTGAGAGAGAAAAATGGGTAAAGTTGACTTCAACTTTGGAAACAGTTGCAGAAGGCGAGAACCTACGGGAATTTCCTGCTTCTTTGTAAATCTGTCTGCCTGTGTACATTATTTCCATTAGGTTTTTAAGATAATTTCTTTTCCCTGCCTGCGAAAGGATGAATATTGCTAAGAGGCACGAAGGATACCCACGTGATGGAAGCACGTCACTGTAAGCTTAGTGAGACAGAGACACTGTATCCTTCTTTGCTAAAAACTTTTGCTGTCCCGGGCAATTTAAGGTAGCAGAAATGTGCTGTAATGTTTTAATTCTTATATGTCCGTCTTTAGGAAAGGTACAGCTGCTTTACACACAGTACTGAGAGTCTGTACCTCCCACCAGGACCTAAGGCCATGAGGCTGGATAACTTTTGCTACTATAATTAAAGGTTTGTGGGCAAAGCCTTTCAGCTGTTTTCTCTTTGGGATCCCCAGTTTCCTCCAGGGCAAAGGTCACAGTATAAACTAGTTCTTCCCTGGCTCTGATTCCTCCTGAGAAGTTCAAGACGTATTTACTTGCCTGTTATGCTGTAAAAAATGTCTGTAACTGAACAACAGAGTTAATTCATCATCTATTTCCAAACATTTGAATTTCAGTGTTCTAGGAGAGGTATCTTAAAATAGTTTTAGAGGAACTGGGTTCATCAGCTTTGTTTTTCCTCAAGGAACACAAGAGATGAGAAATAATTTCTGAACATTTGTATCGAGATAGCATCTAGAAAGTTACGATTCAGGTCAAAAGAATATGTCATTTATATGCACCATTTGGATGTTCTACGTGAGTACTTGGCCCCCCATTATGCCAGGCACTCAACTTCAAGAGACTGATGTTATTTTACTTCAGTTGATCTTGTGCATGAATGAGTTCGTGTATCCATTGAGTAACTTACAAGGGGTCATTTTTTTACTTTTAATTTAATTTAACTGCATAGATCTTCTCATGTTTCTCCTCCTGCCCTCCATGGCCTGAATTCTGTGTTCAAAGAGTCTGAATGCACAAGTGAGTTATTTCTGACGAGTAAGAGATTAAGGGAGAAAGGGTCATTGTACAGGAAGTCTTAGATAACTTGCCGTTCCAATATTGTCATGTAAGCTTTTCCTTGAGAAGTCACAAATTATGACTAATGAGCTACATTTGAAATATCCCAAACTATCTGGAGTCATGACATGTGAAGGTGATTTTTATGAGCTAGTCAAAAGCAGTCTCCCCACCTGGCACTACACTGGCTCATCCACTTTAAGGGGAATTCATCTTGTCCTTGTTGACTGATGCGCAAATAAAAGGCAGAAAGAGGAAATAACTGAAGTCACTGTTGTTACTTTGACAGAATAGGAATGACTACTGACAGGTTTGAAATACCTGAAATGAATGGTATAAATGTGGAAATGTCAACACCTTCTGAAAGACTTTTCACAGTCCTATCTTACTGGGTTGATCATTTCCATTGCCTTAGAGCTTTGACCCTGCTTTTAATTACTGTCATCTTCTAAGTATGATTTGGTATGTTTCATATGATGCTGCTGCTTGTTCTAGTATTTAAAAAACATACAACCAGTATTTGTTTTCTCAAAACCAAAGTAGAATCAAGAATTAAAAGGGGACAGAGGGTCATACTACTTGTTAGGTAACTAAGGTTAGAGCTTTCTTTAACGTGCTACCCCTTGGTTTACCAATTCTTCAAATGCAGCTGGGCAGCTCGTCAGCTATGCAAAAAATATCCAGTGGTTATTTGCTCATCCTTGACATGTCAAATGCTTCCATTAGTTCCTAAATCAGGGAACTCATTACAACATATCTGATCTGCTGCAGTACCTGCAATGAAAAGGATATATTTTTAAAGAAAGTAGTAAATATGGTTTTTATTTATAGGAGGAGCAGGCAAGCACTAATGACTCAGCATTATTTAAGAAAATAGGCATGGAAGAGTTTCATCAACTGTTCAGTCCCCTGCCTACTTCCTCCACAATTGTTAGCATTTAGAAAAGATAGGTTTCAGCCTTGTCACAAGCAGAACCAGAGGTAGGCTGGGGAGGACAAAGGAGTGTGAGGAAAGGAGAAACAAAAAATGCACAGATGTGTAGTGATTTAAAATTAACTAATTGTTGCTAAGACACAGATCACTTCTAGAGGATAATGACCACAACCAGAGGCTAAGCTGTATTAGCATCAAATCTGCCATTAACGTTCCAGGAAATGCACCAGTGTGAGACATTAATGAAATTATAGCCAGTTATTTGGTGGGAGAGGAATCAGTCAGGCAAGAGGAACATTTTCCTTGTGGTACCATTATTTTTACTTAGCAGCACAAAACCTATTTTTATTTCATGACTGTGTTCGAACATCTACAGAGAAAGATGCACAGAAGGTACTTGACATTCTTTCAAGGCTCCAGGATTTTTTAGCAATATTGCAGTGGGAACAGGAGCAGCTCCTAAATTTTGCTCATACTCTCATGGTTCTATTTGTCAGCCTTCTGTTCTTCAAATACATAGCTTCACTCTATACTGAACAGTTTTGTTATTCCAGCGTATGACTGCCAAAAGACTCCCATTAGCCTTAGCAGTATGTGTCTTCCAGGGCAGATGAAATAGTACCTCAGCTATGCAGTGCAATACCTAGACCCTCTGACACTGGTGGAATGCCAGTGTGATACACTGGTGTCAGTCACAAGCCCTTAGTCTGATAACTACGCAAGAGCAGCACTGCTGCTAATAATTGTTCCAAAACACTTTTTTTCCTGAAAAGGAATGTGAGCATGCAGAGTTGAGGGAAAACTAGGTTTGTCAGGTTTAATATTTCCAGAGTAAATTCCAGACTCAGTATAATAATCAATAAATATTAACATCACAGAATCACGGAGTGGTTGAGATTGGGAAGAACCTCTGGAGGTCATCTGGTCCAACCTCCTTCATCAAGCAGCAGCACCAATTGCCCAGGACCACATCCAGAAAGTTTTTGAATATCTCCAAGGAAGGAGAGTCCAGCACCTCTCTGGGCAACCTGTGACAGTTCTTGGTCACCCTTACAGGAAAATAGTGTTTCCTGATGTTCAGAGGGAACCTCCTGTGTTTCACTTTGTGCTGTTGCCTATGGTCCTGTGTGGTGGTTTAACACCAGCTGGAAATTAAACTCCAAATAAGCCACTCCCCTTCCCCCTGCCCCCTCTAGAAAGAGAGGGACAGTGGCAGAGACTATTGGTTGAGATAACAATTTACTGAAAGCAAACAGCAATGGAATAAGAAATGCACTGTAACAGCAGCATTATTAATAACAAAAGTATACAAAAAGAGAAGGTGCTTTACACACAAAAGCTGTTCACCACCTCAACTTAGTTCCACATGGCTGCCAGGGCAAAGACAAGATGGCAGGCACTCCCCATCCCTGAGCCTGAGGCAATGGAAAACAATGACGGACAAAGCCCCGACAGCTAGATCATCTGCATGGCACCATGCTGCCATTCCGTTGTGCTGGGGCTCGGGTTCTGCTGCATCAGTTTCATTGGGCTCAGCCACTTTCACCCCTTTTTCAGCACCACGTCTTGGAGTCACATTCGCCACTTTTCAGCACCACATCTCCAAACCGTTTCTCAGTGGAACAGGCAGCAATAGCAGGTCCACAGGGCTGATCCGACAACCTTCAGGATGGAGACAGAGAGACAAAATAGTGCATTTCTGGAGGTGCACTCACCTTTTCTTCCTGCCAGAACCATAACCCCCAGCGATGATGTGGTTTGTGTAGAACAGCAACCTAGCCATGCCCACACAGCACTAAGCCCCATCCTTCTCTGCAACCAGGACATTCTGTCAGTGAGCACCACTGAAAAGAGCCTAGCTCTTTTGTCTTTGCATTTGCCCTTCAGATACATCTACACGTTGATGATATCCCTCCTGAACCTTTCTTCTCCAGACTGCACAGCCCCAGTTCTCTCAGCCTTTCCTCATAGGAGGTGTGCTTTAGTCCCTTAATCATCTTAGAGGCCCTTTGCTGGACTCTTTCCAGTAGCTCCATAGTTCTCTTGTACCAGGCAGCCCAGAACTAGATCCAGAATTTCAAGTGAGAGATCACCAGTGCTGGATAGAGAGGAAGGAGTACCTCCCTCAGTCTGCTGGCAATACTTTGCTTACTACATACTTGTAGCCTTCTTTGACACAAGGGCGCATCACTGGCTCATGTCCAAATTGGTGTCCAACCCCAGGTCATTTTCTGACAAGTTGCTCTCCATCTGAGTTAGATATATTGTTGTTGATATGTTAATTGTTGATTGTTGGCTATGTTGAGTTGATATGTTGTTCGGCACCAGGTGCAGGACTTTGCATTTCTCCTTGCTGAACTTCTGAGGTTTCTGTCAGCTCATTTCTTCAGCCTGTCAAGCTCATGCTGGATGGCAGCACACCCCTCTGGTTCATCAGCCACTCCTCCCAACTTTTTAAAATCATTGAGGGTATGCTCTGACCTATCATGCAGCTCACTAACAAACAGGACTCACCTGGTATTGATTCTTGAGGTACACTGCTACTTTCGAGCTTCCATCTAGACTTTGCACTGCTCATCACCACCCTCAGGACCCATCATTCAGCCAGTATTTGATCCACTTCCTCATCCAGTCCCTACAGCACCACCCTGAGGAGCTATAAGGCTGTTATGGGAAGCAGTGTCAGAGACCTTACTGAACGCCTAGCAGACACTAGTAACTGCTCTCCCCTCATGTACCAGACACATCAATCACAATCAGTGGTAACATTGTAGAATGTTACCAGGCTGGCCAAGCATAACTTTCCCATAGTGAGGCCATGCTGACTACTTCTGAGGAGTTTCTTGTCCTTCATGTGCCTGGAATGGTTTCCAAGATGTAAATGGTTTCTAGTATTTCCTTTTAAGGGATCAAAGTGAGGCTGACTGGCCTGTAGTCCCCTAGTTCCTCCTTCTTGCCTGTCTTGAAGATAGGCATGACACTTTTTTCTCTCCTCCAGTCTTTTGGCACACACAAGTTTTCTCACTTTTTCTCTTCCAATTCTCTTCCTCATTCCTCTGGTGAGGGAGTGAGTGAGTGTTTGTGTGGTGCTTAGTTGCAGGCTGGGATTAAACCACAACGTTAGAGCCAGTAATGACAAGCATGTCTTCTTTATATTGTCAAAATTCTTCTAATTCCCCTGTTCCTCTAATAAGTAACATTATTGAGATTCTTTTAAAAACTGTTCTGAACTTTGTTTAGGGAAAATCTGGGTGAATGTAATTCCCATCAAGAACTAAGAACTGAATCATTATGACACACTTATCCAAGATACGTAACTACCCTGGGTTACAAACTCAGACCAGCATATCCAAATAAACTAACTCCTGTGGATCGTTTTGGAGAAAGAACTGAACAAAGTTCACATATCAAAGAAACCACTCTGGCCATTCTCTTATCTCTGTGCACTACCTTCCTTAACCTCTCCTTTTGATGCACCCAAAGTAAAGCCTAACTAAACAAATTTCCTCTCAAAAGGGCCAATGTTAAAAGGCTTCAGAAAAGATGTCATTTAGCTCTGATATGCAGCAGCAAGAACACCCCATTTCCTGCTCTGCCATCCAATTATGGGGGGAAAATTGCTTTTTCATCCCAAGCCCAAAATGTTGAGAAAAGACAGACAGATGTGGCAGACTTTAACAACTTCACTATGTCTAGGAAACCTAATGAAAAGATATGTGTTTTATAATCCTAGTATATGTGCCTGGAAAGACTAGAAAGGAAAGGGTGTAATGCTAAACCATTTAAACTGCTCCCCATATAGTTATGACTTAACTCTCCCACCACAAAGAAAGCCTCACCCCTAAAGTAAATAAGCTAAGAGTAGTCTTTTGTCAAAAGCTGCATTACAGTGTGTTTTACACAGTAGAAAGAGAACAGTAAGCCTCTGCATAAATACAAATCTGAATGAGAATTGTTCAGCTTTTGCTTTTCTTCTTAGATCAGCTTAGCTATTGATGAAAAGTAAGAATACGTACTTAACGCTTACTTTGTTATAATGATGAAAACATTAGCCAAAAGCTCTGGGGGCACCTCGAAAAGGAAAAAAAGTATAAAAACTTAGACATATTTCTTAACTGTGCTGTATTTCCAAACACACAGCCATGCAATAGACAGTTAATGTCTGCAAAATTCCCCTTTTTTTTTTTTTTTTAAATGCTCTTTGGAGCCAATTTAATATTTTCCAGACCTATCCTTCTCCCATCCCCACTTGCTAAAAAAGTAGTGAAATACCAGGAAATGATCCAAAGCTGTGGTATTGTTTTCATTTTCCCAGTGTCTGAGCTTTTGAAGTGTTCCACATCCCCTCTACCCCAGCCTTATCGTGCTTCGGTCATTCCAGGAGCAGACAGGTGACTTGAGCTTGATCTCTACCAGACTTTCATTACTCACAACCAAACTTGCCTCTGCAGGCTGTCTTCAGAAAAAAACAACACATATACAGAGTGGCTCTGCAGAACTGGGGAGAGTTTATACAACCTGCTCCCTCCAAGTATCCAATAAGCTTTCCCTTTGCAAGGCTGTCTCACAGCTTCTAAACATATCATCAAACCACCCCTTCTCCTACCTTATAATCAAAAACACCCTTTCCAAACACAATCTCTTGCTTATACCAAAGGAAAAAGGAAAGTTGTATTTGATATGTGTATCCTGGTTTTTTTAAAGAAAAAATATATGGTTCTACCCGAAGCTATTTAGTTTGTATGGTCTCCCATAGGTTGTTTGAATAGGTGATAAGACATGCAGATCCAGCTAATTAGCACAGTCTTAAAAATGTATGAGGATAAATACATAATAGGAGGAAGGAGAGAAAAGGGAGATTTCAAAGCAAAGCAGAAGTAGTTTTTGGAGTTTTGATGCAGTTTGGGGCCTGCAGTATATTAATTATACTGCAGGCCTCAAACTGCAAATGCTTACACATGTGCATAATTCTGCTCTGGGAAGTAGGTTCTAGTGTAAGCCATCTAGTAATTTATTTTTTTGGGTGTATTCATGTGTATTCTGCAAAGCTGTCAGGAGTCTCCTTGATGTGGACAGCAGTAAAGCCACAAACAAAGGGGTCTGGTTATCTGTGAGGGCTGCAACATTTGGAAGTCAGTATTCCTCTGCTTTCAGTTACATGAGTACCATAGCGAGTTGTCTGAGTTACTCTTCCCTGCCACTAATCCCTTCTCAAGAGTGACAGTTAAAGAGACTGGAAGGGCCCTTGCCTTCACATTTTGCCATCTTCAGTTGAATCCCAGCTTGATGCCAAGTTTTCACCTCTGTATTTCACTTCCTTGGAAAAAGAGATGGAGGAAACACAGCTGATCTCTGCCAGACAAAAGGGTGCACACTCATTACTCATTTGACATAAGGATATGAGAGAGAGATATGGGTAGAACATGCATGCACTGAAAGCAGACCACATATTTCAGTTGCTTCAACTTTAATAAATTCCTAGTGCAGGTATTATGTTAAAACCCAAGCTTTTCAGAAAAATTAGGAAAAAAAATGGGGATATACTTTGAAATCATATAAACAAGCTCCCCACCCCCATCCTCTATAATTCTAGTACAGCAAAATTCTCAGAACTGATCTGACTGTGTAACTGCAGCCTGGGGCATTTACTCGCCACTACTAGAGTAGCAATGCCAAGATTTCTTTAGTTACTTTATTCCCAACTATACCATTGCAGTTTCTAGGACATATTCAAATTTCCATTTGATAAAAATGAAGTCATTCTTATCTCTACTTGAACACTGACAAATAGCAAAATGTTTAGGCTTTTTGTGCATGTTAAAAGTATATGGATAACCACTCAGGCTATGTGAAGAATGAGTTTCCTGTCTCATACACACTATTTATAATTTCTAAATTCATCTGAACTCCAAATAAAACCTTACCATGCTCAACAGTCTCCACACATATTTTTATTACACATCCTGGGGGTGGATCCCAAAGTATAGGGGTTTTTCAGCACAAAGAAACTCTGTTTTTTGGTTTTGATATTTTTTAATACCCAATGGTAAAGAGGACAGTATCTCCAAAAATTAAGAGTTTAAATGCTGAACTAAAGAAGTTTGAAGTCAAAAGCATTTAAACACATGTAACCATGTGTCCTCACACAAAGTAGGACTTTGTTCGAGTTTTATCTTCTAACAGCATATAGAATATTTTGTGTAATAGTTTCCAGGGTAAAAAGATGGATTAAAGATCATTTATTATAGGAAAGCTAAGTTTTTACCACCAGACCATGTCTAGCTCTAAAACAAAGAAATAATAAAGATTTTGAAAGAGTTAAAGTTTCATTTCCCCCAGCTGGTCTAAGACATAGAGACTAATTTTGTTGAATACCACTGCAATCTGAGAAGAAATAGTTGCAAGTGTCCATAAAAATTCCTTAATGCATCTAATTTTAGTCTGGTAAACTTCACATGAGGGAGTTACATCCTGCATACCTTATTACCCAAAAGCTCACTGAAGTTTTCCTGCAATGTTGAATGTCCAGATTCTCTGAATGTTTAGGTAACTGATTGAGTGCAAATAGCGAGAAACATATGGAAGTGAGTTTGTATGTCTTTGTTCAGTTGTCATCAAAGATAGATTGGGGTCAGCCACCCAAGATTCCAATGGTTAATACAGACTATGTTTTTTCCTGAATGCCTGTATTTAAAAAAGTAAAAAGAATTAAAGAAGGTAATAAAGCCACCAACTCTGCAGAAATAGCCTTACTGCATCTCTTCTTACAGTATTTTCGGAAAATGTGTTTGGAAAATAGTATAACGACTATAGTAAACAAAAAGATTAATTGTGAAAGGTGAGAAAAAAGTATTTAAGTATTCTGTTTTCCTTTCAAGAGTTGACCAGTTAAGTTCTATTAGTGGCCATAAGTAGACACTTGTAACAGTTGCACTAGTAAGGAGGGCTTAGACCTTCTGAAAATTGGACCACTTGTTGAGATGTCTAGTTTTAACTATGTCCAATTTTGGGGTTGAACCTGTATAGTCTCACTTTCTATTTTTTAAATTGGCATAATACTGCAATATCTTTCGCACAGTAAAAGCAGTTAAATTGAATTAATCACTGTGTCTGCAACACTGAAAATTCCTAATTAAAAAGTAGTCTGTAAAAACAAGAATTAGTTATTGTTGCAAATCCATTAAGATGCATTCTTATGGATCTGAAAGCAGGTTTTAAATCTGTGTGGCCCAAGTGAGGTGGAGAGATGATTAGTGGGAGGAGGTTCAAAGGGTTTCTTTTGTGCTAGTTTCTTATTCCTTAAGGCCTTAGTCCTCCTACCATTAGTGTGTGTAAACATTAGTGTATATATTTATGAACTAAAGCTTCTGTGAATTTATCAACCAGAAGAGGATACTAGCTAGCATACCATTCAACAGTGTAAAGAGGTTTCTGGTTTGCAAGGTTACACATCTTAGGTGGCTGAAAAAACAGAGGTTCTGCTATTTTCTGTGTCTGCAGTTTACCTTGGGGGGGGCACATACATTTTTAAACACATATACAGATGATGACAGAGGAGAAGGATAATGCATTTTACGTATCTCCAGTGCGTGAAACAAGGGATAAATGGGTTTAAGCAGCAGCTATAATTGCTGTCAGTTACTACGAAAAATTTTCTACTGATAAGGATACCCTAGACCAGACTAAACTGGCAAGGAAAGGGAGGCTAATGGAAGTCTTTAGAAACCAATCAGATCAACATCTGCCAGAAACAAGACTCAGCTATTTCTTCTTGGAGTCAGATGCTGACCTACAGAGAGGAGCTCAGTCTTTACTGCAGTATTTCATATTGCAGGCTGCAAAAACTGTTTTTCCAGGGAGAAAGATGAGATATACAGAGTATTCCCTTCCCACAGAATTATCCATGACTTTGTAAGGAGAGCATAATCCAGTTCTCCAACTTTGGATCTGGACATAAGAGGACAGTTTTGTTCTCCGTAAAATGTAAGCCTGAAACATGCAGTTAGACTGTGAACAATTCTTAAGTTATAATAAGACAGAGTGGGCATCATTCATTCTGTAGAGATTGTTTATGGTATAGTTTGGCTGAACATTCTGCTTAACCATCACCCCAAATTACTGAACCAAAAAGCAGAAGGTGAATGTCCTGTAGACAAAATATGCTCAAATTAGAGCATGTGAATCCAGATTTACCCCACCAGAAAAGTAATATATCACTGGTGATTTTTTCATCTCAGTACCTGTCCTACAAGATATTTGAATAGCCTTTAACATTCAATGTACTTTTCTCTCTTTGTGACTTTAGAATCAGAAAAGAGAGTTTTTACAGAAGGTATATAAATATAGTAGGATTTAACAATACTTTGAGCATTTTGGGGCAACTATGTAAAGGATGATACAGCATCTCGGGGGAAGAACGGTAGACACAACCAAAGGGCACAGGAAGAGAATATAACTTGGGTGATCTTTTCTTTCCTTCCTATCCACTTGGTTTTCAGTGTGTGCTGGAGTCCAAGTGAGGACTTCTGACTACCTGTGAAAAGACAGCATTATATTTTTGCAAGAATAAAAGTTTTCTTGGAGCCCAGGTGATAGCAATTTTGGCTGTTGTCTGTAGTGTAATGTATAATAATAAGCCATCTCTGCCTGTGTCTTTAACTGGGGCTAAATTAATTTCAGTGCAAAAGATAAAAAGCAGACAGCAGAGGTTTAAAGAACCCACCTGCCAACACCTGAGAAACACTTACATAAACCTTCTGGTTTATAGAAATGACCATGTCATCTGGTCTTCCGTTGGAATGCCATTTCCAGGAGGTCACAGGAAGAATCTCATTTTTCAAATGCATTGCCATACCAGATCTATGTTGCAATACTATCAACAAAATTTACTCAGAGACCTTTTGTTCTTCACAAAGAACTAAGGATGTATGGCTACATAGCTCCTGACCACACACATGCAGTACCACCAGAGAGATTTCTCTTCTTGCTTCCAGAAGCAGAACGAGCAAAAAAAAGTTATGAAGAATTCATGTGGTGAAACATGGCAATGATTTAAGAGAGAAAAAAAATAGATGAGATTATAATAGTTCACAAAAGAATTTTTGCAAGAATACCTTGAAGCCCAATAAAAAGCCCAAGAATTTTGTTGGATTCTTCAGGCAAAACTAAAGCTGTTACTTTTACCTTTTTAATACACAAAAGCACAGATATTCCTAATGCCTGAGTCTTAACTATAGAAAATTTTAATAATAAATGACATACTGGTATCCATCTGCATAAAGGCTCTTCAAGGTCACATCTCAATGGAAGCAACTAAAGAGTATGTACTGTACTACAAACAGTGTATAAGAACAATGGTCATTAAACTATTTGGAAATTCACTATTGTCTTTCAATAACTTGTAAAAGGGGAGTCAAGATGAGGACAGGCCCTCATGCTTATAAGCAGCTGTTCTTAATTTGAAAGAAACTTTAAACAGTTTTTAACCTCCTAAACAAAACAAGAAGTAGTGAAGGTTTAAGTACTCATATGACATACTCAATGTCTGTTCTTGCCTTTCTCCTCACATTTAAATATTATTTTTTCTGAGTGAAACCATCAACCTTTTCTATCCTAAGTAGAAAATCTATGAGATTCTTTGTCAGTGAGAACAAGATCACTAGCCTCTGCCTGATTGCCTCCTAAATGGTAGACCATTCAGGTGAATGTCTTTCTGGGCATCCTCTGCAGTGGAAGCTGGGATTAGGTGTGGAAGTTAAAAGAAAATAGGGAGGGGGCAAGAAAATGTATTTCCCTTATTTTATCCAGTTAAGGATGGAAAAATACAGCATGAGAAATGCTAAAGGCTTTCTTCTTCTATCATCATCATCATGGCTAGGCTTTGCGAACGAAGATTTGAGAAGGGCTCTACCCACGCTTGCTACAAGCACGCTGATGGCTAAAAAGGCCAATGCGAGATAGACAAGTCCGGTTGCAGAAGGCACAGCAGAAAGACTCCCCAGGTGATGTCGACAAGACACGATTCTTTCTGCGTTGTCTTTTCTCCTCGAGAGTGATCCTGCGTGTGTTCTCAAAAGCAGCAGCAGCGTTATAGATGGTGTGTCTGTCTCCAGGCCTCCCGACTGGAGGCCAGGGTAGACCAATGGTGGTGATCAATATGGCCAAGGCTGAGGGATTGTTTCAGGCAGTCCTTGTATCTCCTCTTCGGGGCTCCTCTCTTGCGGCAGCCAGTGGCAAGTTCCCCATAGAGCACGATCTTAGGGAGGCGGTAGTCCTGCATCCTGGAGACGTGCCCTGCCCAGCTCAGCTGTGTTCTCAGCAGCATGGCCTCAATGCTCGTGACTGCTGCCTGTTCAAGGACAGACGTGTTGGTCACATAATCCGTCCAGTGGATGTTTAGGATTGTACGGAGGCAGCGCTGATGGAAGCGTTCTAAGAGACGCAAGTGGTGCGGGTAAATGACCCACGATTCAGATCCATATAAAAGAGCAGACAGTACAACAGCTCTGTAAACGCTGATCTTTGTACTTTTCTTCTTTCGCCACACTCTTTTATGGAGTTTACCAAAAGCTCTGTATGCCTTAGCTAACCTGTTGTCTATTTCTGCATCAATCTTACCGTCTGAGGAGATAATGCTTCCCAGGTAGTTAAACTGCTGGACTGATTTGAGCTCTGTTTCACCAATGGTGATATGGGGATGATGGGAGACTTCCTGAGGTGCAGGCTGATATAAAACTTCTGTTTTCTTCAAACTGACTTCCAGTCCAAAAAGTTCAGCAGCCTCTGCAAAGCAGGATGTTAAACGCTGCAGAGCTACTTCTGTGTGGGCGACGAGGGCGGCATCATCAGCGTAAAGCAGCTCATGGACAAGATGATTTAAGGTCTTAGTGTGGGCCTTCAGTTGCCTGAGGTTGAATAGGCTCCCATCGGTACGATATCGAATGTAGACACCGTTTTCATCATCGAGGTCTGCTGTGGCCCTTTGGAGCATCATGCTGAAGAAGACTGTGAATAAAGTTGGTGCAAGAACACAGCCTTGCTTCACACCATTGGCTATTGGAAATGATGCTCAGAAAGTGCATCGCAATATCTGACCTGACCGCGCTGGTCCTCATCAAGTGAGATGATCATTTTGAGGAACTTGGGGGGACATCCTAAACGTTCCAAAATCTGCCACAGACCTTTTCTGCTCACAGTGTCGAAAGCCTTGGTGAGATCAACAAAGGTTACATAGAGTCCTTTGTTCTGTTCCCTGCACTTCTCTTGCAGTTGTCTGAGAAAAAATACCATGTCTAGGGTACCTCTGTTGGCTCAGAAACCACAATGGCTTTCAGGTAGAAGATCTTCTGCTATGGTGGGTATTAATCTGTTCAAAAGAATTCTTGCAAGGATTTTACCAGCAGTGGAGAGCAGAGTAATACCTCGGTAATTTGAGCAGTCTGATTTATCTCCTTTCCTCTTGTACAAGGTGACGATGACAGCGTCACGAAGGTCTGAAGGCAGTTCACCTCATTCCCAACAGTGCACCACAAATTCATGAAGTGCTTGGAGTGCTTGGCCACCATGCTTCCAGATTTCAGGTGGGATTCCGTCAACCCCAGCTGCCTTGCCAATTTTCACGTGCTGTATTGCTTTAAGAGTTTCTCCCATGGTGGGGGCAGTATCCAGTTCAGTTTTCACGGGTTGTTGTGAAATGAACTGCATTGCTGAGTCTTGAACTACACGGCTAGTACTGAAGAGAGTCTGAAAGTGTTCAGACCATCGATTCAAGATGGAAACTTTATCTGTGAGAAGCATTTGGCCATCTGCACTGAGTAAAGGGCTTTGAACCTGGTGTGTAGGACCATAGGCTGTTTTCAGAGCCTCATAGAATCCCCTGTAGTCACCTGTATCTGCGCATAATTGGATTTTTTCTGCTAGACTGGTCCACCACTTGTTCTGGATGCCACCAAGTTTCTGTTGGAGCCTGCTACATGCAAGTTGAAAGGCTGTTTTTCTTACACAGCAAGATGGCTGAGCAAGGTGGGCTTGGTGAGCAGTTCTCTTCTTACTCAACAATTCCTGGATCTCATGATTGTTTTCATCAAACCAGTCCTTGTTTTTCTTGAAGGAGAAGCCTAAGGATTCTTCAGAGGACTGCAGAATGCTATTTTTAATAAGTTGCCAAAGCGCTTCAGGAGAGGGATCTGTGGAATGAACTTTGAGCCTGGATTGAAGATTTGCCTGGAAACTGTCCCTCACTGTAGCTGTTTGAAGACTGTTAACTTGAAGTCTCCTTCTAGGAATGCCACCCTTTTAGGTTTGAACTTTAGGTGGAGGTTAAGTTTACAGTGCACAAGGTGATGATCTGTTTGGCATTCTCCACCAGGCATCACGCAGGTGTGATGAACATTGCGGATATCTCTCTGTCGGACTGAGATATAATCAATGAGGTGCCAGTGCCTGGACCTAGGATGCATCCAGGTTGTCTTCAGACTATCTTTCTGCTGAAAGATAGTGTTGGTGATGGTAAGCTGCTGCTCAGCACAAAACTATAGCAGAAGGCAACCATTATCATTGCAGTTCCCAACACCGTGCTTGCCTAGTACTCCTTTCCAGGCTTCAGAGTTCTTTCCTACTCTGGCGTTGAAATCACCAAGGATAATGATCTTATCATCTGCAGGAACCTTTTGGATAAGGCGTCGTAGGTCGTCGTAGAATTTATCTTTTTCGGCAGGGTCAGCTTGGAGGGTTGGGGCATATATACGAAAGAGAACAGCACGTTGCTTGTTTTGTAGTGGGAGGTGTAGGGAGATAATGCGATCAGAATGACCAGTCAGCAGATTTTCGAGTTTAGAGGCAATAGAGTTTTTAATCATGAAGCCAACTCCTGAGAGATGCCTTTCAGAACTGGGTTTACCTGACCAGTAGAGTGTATAACCAGCACCATGTTCTCTAAGGCTGCCTTCCTCATGGAGACGAACTTCACTGAGAGCAGCAATGTTGATGTTGAGTCGTGACAGTTCATGGGCTATTAGAGCAGAGCGACACTCAGGATGGCCACTTTTTGCAGTATCAAGCATGGTTCTGATGTTCCAGCATGCGAGTGTTAATTTGAGTACACCTTTGAAGGCAGGTGTATGCCTTTTACTCTTAATCTTTATTTGACTGCAACAGAAGATGCCCATTGGCCTCAGTTAACCAACCAGGTGAAGGGTGGAGATGAGCTTTGGTTAGACCACCTTTTCTAGGCCCCTCTCCGTGTGGATCAAGCAGTGCTCTCCTTGAAAAAGGCTGCTTGGTCATTCAGGATGCTGCCAAGTGAGTCTGTCATCTCCAGGGTCAGACTCAGGCGACCAGTGTCCTGAATTGCCTGCATGCAGGGTTAGGACTGCAGCTTCCAGTGCACCTTATCACCTGCCGTTTCGTCCCTCACCTGTCGCTGCAGGACTTTACAAGTGTGGGTATAACCCTAGAGCCTGCCTTCTTCTATATGATAAGGAGAAAAGAACCAAAGTTCCCACAGGCAATGCCATATCAGAATTTGGCACAGGAAAACAAACCCCATCATGTTGGAAAAAACTACTTCTGTACATATGGAAGCTTTTTTTGGAAGCTGTTTTTTTTCCTGTTTGGTGGGAATGGAGGAGTTAGACAAGCCTTCATTTAAAGAGATTACCATTGAGTCCTCTTTGATGAGAAAAACTTGTCTAGGCACAACAACTGGCATAGCAACTAGCCTCACTAGGTACAACAACTGGCCTCAGCCCATTTATCCAGCTGGTCCCTCAAACAGATCAACATTTCCATCCTACTTGGTATCATCTGAAAATTAACTGAGAGTGCACTTGATCCCCTCATCCAGATCATTGATAGAGATATTAGACAGGACTGGCTCCAATACTGAACCCTAGGGAACACCATTCATGACTGGCTGCCAGCTGGAGGTAACTCCATTCACCACCACTGGCCATTGATCCAGATTTTAAGCAGTAAAATCTGGATCTAAAAATCAGGTAGTTTTGTTACCTTCTTTACTTTTACGAATCAACCAGTTTCTTGGGTTCAGTAAATGCTTTGGGTTTTTTAACTTTATTAATAATATATCCCAGCATAACTATTTACTACTGGCAGAAGCCTGAACCTGTGGTGGAGCTTTTAGGCCTCTAGACGCTGATAGGTTAAAGTGTTTGCTTTGTACTTGTCATTGATCAAAAAGCATGCAAACTGAGTTATCCTAGCTCAGCCAACAGGCAATGCTTTGGTTCAACAGTCATATTGCAACTGTATGTCTCAGTCTGACATAAATGTACAGAAGGCAATGTAAGCTTGACATATGCAATGAAGGCTACTGTGGGGGAGCCCAGCTGGTTCTGGGCTCTCTGTAAACTGAGATACCGAAGATGGAACTTCTTACACCTGGCAGAGGGTTAACCAAGGACAGTGGGGACTGTGACACAGAGTGGGTTTCCTGTTAGGATGTTAACCTATTGTGTTAAGACATGTGGCTGTGTGTCCAATCATAAGTTGTTATGATAGTGGTAAACCAATGCTGTGTGTACATGTGTCACCCAGGACTATATAAAGGTAGCTGCACTGTTGCAAAAAAAAAAAGCTGGTATCCTGAAACCTATGTCGCCTCCCGCCTCGACTGCGACAGGCTACCAGGCAACACACCTTCTTATGCAAGTTTCTTATGTGAAGAACAAACAATTGCTCCTGAAATGTTCTAGAACAAACTCCAGGCCTGGGAGCCAGCCGAGTAACAGAAGGATTGTAAGTTCAAGTTTTTATTTCCACCCATGGCTAAGGTAACAGGGCAAGGGTTATTACAAGATGAACCAGATAAATCAAGATAAGTTTGTAACAGGAAATATATACAAATACTTACATAAGAAAGGTGTATATAGGACCTTATGCTAAGGCCTTAGTACTAGCATTAAGAATTCTAGCAGGCAGCTGCAAAGATCCCTGAAAACCAGGACAAAATACATCTGCACTGGAGTCTCCAATCAGCTACTAATTCTGTGAACGTATGAGCTAACCTTTGTACCTGAAGGATGGAAAAGGCAAGAGGCACATTCTTTCTCTCATTTTAAAATTAAATGTCTACTTTTGTTATTGTGTGTGTGTGTGTATGTTAACCTGTGCTAGACCTCTGTGCTTATGCAGACTGATTCCTTCCTTAGAAACTGTCACAGTCCCATGCTAACATTCTTAGCCCTCAATGTGGCACTGGGCTGTCCCATATTTTCTACGTCATTTCACAAAGTGGACAGTTCCTGCAGGTTACAGTACACTATTGTGATGCCTTTTCATATCTGATTTACTAAAAAAATGCATCTGTTAAATTGAAGTATCAAATTCAAAATTAGTTTAAAATTTTTAAATATTTGTATGTGCATACAGATTTAGAATCTAATGTTTATGGAAAAGGACTGTAATTTCCTTATATATAAATAAATTGCACAGCACAGTGATCTTTCACTGGAATCTTGATGTCTTCTTAAGATCTAAGGAAAAAAATGGGAAGAGATGCTGTTACAAATTAGTCCAGTTTATGCATTTGGATTGGGGTCTTTGGGTATAATACTGATTCTGTGCATGTGTGAAGCTATTTTCACTGTTTAGTGCATTCTGCATTGCTCTCGATGGCAACAGAATCTCACTCTTACATTTTCCTGTTCAATATTCTGAACATCAAAGGTTTATATTTATGTTGAATTCTTTATTTGTTGAATTCATCTAGTTTGTTGCTAATTATAGCCTTTTGATACAGAGTATCTCCTTGTATCACTGAAGACCTGTGCAGTAAACTATATCTTTTAGTAATTTGCTTTTCTGCCTAGGATTATTTGATTTCTTTTACTTAAACAAATACAAAAATACTGAAAAAAAAACAACCTAGAAATTACAGCTAAAAATCATCCAGTTGTCTACAGAAAGAAATCATTTCAGGGAAGGTAACACAAGTCCCATATAATCAGGGTCTACTTTATAAACCAAATTAAAGGTTTTTAACTTTTAAAGTCTACCCTGAATGACAATCTGACATTTAATATGAAGCCATAAATAGATAAATAATGTCAGGACTAGATGTTATTTTCAACACTTTTGTCTTTTAAGAAGAATAAGACCACCCATCCAGACAGCACTTAAGCCCTTGAAAGAATAGTTGTAGTTTCTTTTGTACAAATAAATAGGAAATTTATCCTATAAAAAGGATAATTAAATGACTAAAAGCAGGCCTACACTTCTAGACAACAAAACTGAAAGGGCTTAGGGTCAGGAATTTTATTCAAAGAAATGGATAGTAAAACCACCAGTGACTGCAATAAAAACAGGATCATGCTCCCACTTTTGCACAATTTTCTGTTTGATTACTAATGACAGTGGTAAAGCAGAAATCTGGTCAGAACTCTTAATCCCCTGGTTCCCCTTTTTGCATGTTAATTAGAAACAGAGTCTGCTTTCTCTTACATTTGTCATGGTACTTACATTGTTTTAATTCTTCTTGCACTGTAAACTAGGCAGTTTTTCAGAAACCTGTAAAATACATCACATACAGGTTAAGATTCAGCCCAATTGTATGGAGTCAGAAGAATCTAAGCTTTCACATCCTGTTTCCTATGTTTAATTGACAAACAATAACCTACAGAAAACAGGGTAAACTCAGGAGTGGTGCCATCTGTCTCATACTGGAAGAAAACTTGCTTCAGTGGCCATGTATCCTTGCCTGCCTTGAGTATTGTCATAGTCACCTCATCTATGGCTAGGAAGCTGGAGTTGAGGGGAACTGACTTGCTCTATCACAATTGCTGCCCGATATGGGGTCTGATGCAAGAAGGATGTCTTTAACTTCTTCAAAGCACAGGGCTGGCTTTTAAATTACTCCCCCACCCGCCACCTTCCAACCTGGTTACCAATTCCCCCGTGAATTCTCAGTATCCTAACATATTAAGAACAGCTTTTATATAGGGTAGGAATACAAGTGAGAGGGCAGGTCACAAATTTTCTACCAGATTATTTCCTGATAGAAAAAGTGTATTTCAGCTTTGCTAATTTTATCTAGTACTATGTAGCTAGGAATAAAGTATTTTAGCTTGAGAGTAATTTGGCATACAGTGAAATATTTGTTTAGCAGTTGTTTTATTTTATGCTGTATCAGTGTTCAGCTGCATTACATTATGGTGATGCATTGGCACACAGAATTATGTTTCAGCTGGCCACCGATTAAGTCCTGTTTTAGCCCGAGTACTGGTGTAGAGTAAAAATCTCCTATGAGCTGCAAGAATTCAGCAGTAGGTTCATTTCCATCCAGTCAGTTTTACTGCTTAGATTTTTGTAAAACTGAAGATCATATCTAAATTCTCAGTCTTGTCCAAAATTCTGCACTGAGGATTTTGTATCTGGAAATGCATATTACATAGCCAACTGAGAATTCAAGATCACAAGTACGTTATCTCTTTAAAGCAGTTAACTCTTATTTTTTCCTATTTTTGCAGTTGATGATGTAGCAATGCTAATAAACTTCTTATGATCAAAATGTGTACTCAGATTTGTCTACTGTCATCTATTTTTCATTAACAAGAACATTTTCAAGACATTTTTCCACAAGCATTTAATACTGCTCTACGTCTATTGACCAAATGAAGTCAATTTGAGTTATTACTCCTGATTTTCAAAACAGCAGTTGTACCAACAATCAATACACTTGATCACTCATCTGTAACAAAACAAGGTTTTCATTTTTAAGATTCAGTGTCTGAAGATTAGAATGAATTGAAAGCATTGAATTATATAAATGGGCCTGTTTGCTTCAAGCATTTAATCTGGGTTTATTTTCTTCTTGCAATTCCAGTTAAAACCAGTCTTCTCTCTTTCCAAATTACTGCTCAGAAGGAAAATTAGTACAGTCATAAGAAAACCTCTGGACAGTTATCTACAGTCAGACACAACAGGAGCATAAGGGGTATAACAGCTGGGACTTTATAAGCTCTTCAAAGTTTGGCTGAGACTGCTACCCTCTCTATTAAGACACATTATGATATAACATTTAGGATCTTGCCAAACCAATAAGCAACCCCACTTCCCCATCACTTTACAGCAGTCCTATGAGGCAGTATGGCATTCATGTGTCTTAAGTACTCCTCTAGTCTCAAAACATCTTTTTTGAATATCACCACTGCACCATTCACTTTCCACTTCTCAGATAAAGGAGACTGTGCATGATTCACAGAAAAAAGATTGAATCATAGAATCACAGAATCATAGCATTAACTGGGTTGGAAGAGACCTCCGAGATCATCAAGTCCAATCCTTGATCCAAACCCACTGTGATTACTAGATCATGGCACTCAGTGCCACATCAACCTCATCTTAAAAACCTCCAGGGATGGTGAATCCACCACCTCTCTGGGCAGGCATGGACTGTGTATCTCATGACTAAGAAGGACAAGCAACTTTTCATTAAAAAATATTTCATAAAGCAGGATAAGGCACAGTGTCCCATCCTATAATGTATGCAGTTTAAAGTATCATATGAAATGTGACAGCTCTCTCCTGGAGAGCTGTTGCCTTGTTGAATGTTGCTATTTTACCACTTGCACAATAAAACAAATTAGTATTTCCCATGGTTTTTAAAGTTGGAAAATTGCAGTCTGTCTGAATCCAAATATTTGAAATGTATAGGGAGAGTTATTACTATTCATTTATTCTAAAAAAGGGTAGGTAGCACTCCTTGAAGTTGAAGCATTATAACAGAAAAATTAAAACAGTTGTTGAAACCAATGAAATCCTGATTGAATCTGGGATTTTATTTAAGTGAAAGTTTACCTTTTTGTCAGCTTTTCTTTGGGCTTAAGGGATGCCTTTTTGGATTTGGAGGTTGTCTTGCTGTGTTTTTCTGCAAATAAACTCTCCAGTACTAATTTACTTGGGTACAACTCACCCAAGTCTTTTAAAAAGATTTCTTAATTTCTTCCAGACATTAAAATATATTTTTTCCCATGTATTTTAAATTTACTTCTTTTAATGTGTTTTATGGCATTTCCTGCAGAAATCTCTGATCCAGTGCCTGAGTCATAGAACATGTCAGCAGAGACCTTAAAGATCATCTAGTTCCAACCTCCATCTGCAAGTGCTCTTCATAAGAACTACTGCACTCTTCAAAAGAAGTTTTGAAAAGAGCTCAAACTCCAGGTTTCACAGTTCTTTCAAAAATTGGGCTGGTGCCTACATCAAGTATTGGCTTTCTACACTGGGTAAATTTCACCAACATTATGACAGGGCAAGGTTCACTCCACTGAAGTCAATGACTAAGCTTCTACTTCAACAGAGCCAGGATTTTGCTCCTGGTAAATATTAATACAATATCTGATGGTATCGGTTATCAAATCTTCCATTAATTACACATGCCTTTATTCCTCTGTCACTGGTAGATATATTGGGTGTGTTGATTGGGCATGTTATGATCACATGAGCTTGAATCACAGCAATAAGAGCTGGCACACTTTTGCCTGCAAATCTGAAACATGGTTTGGAGACAAAAGACACATGTTCTAGGGCACTGCTGCTTGTGCATGAACTCCTGCTCCTCAAAACGTTTTCCAGCATCCTACACCATGTTGCTGCTTAGAGCAGCTGAATGTTCATTCATGAAATTATCATTTTACTAATTCTATATAGGAAAAGCTAAGAAGAAAAGCTGTTCTTATATGCATATGGGATATGCATATAGTATATGCATCTCATTATTTCATTTCCCATACTATAATGATTTTCATCAGTACATAACATTGGAGAAGCTATTTTTTGGGTTCTTGCCACTAGTTTTAAAATGCTAGGTTCATGCTGCAGGTTTAAGTGATACTTATACAGATAGTCAGACTGAATTACAGGACATTGCTCAAACAGACAGCATCACCTCAAAAACCCCACAGTGGGGATCTCTATGTGTAAATACAGTTCTTGGCTTCTGGGATTTGCATTTCATATGAAATGAGTTTTATTTTATTATAAAAATAAAGTACATCAGTAGTCTACTGCTAAACAATGAATCCAACGTACCTCCCACATGGCCCAGTTCTACTGAGCAGTGAGTGTTGTAAATAATGACAGTAGTACCTCAATGTATAACATGAGCCAGATTTTCAGGTCCTTTGGGAAAAGCCATTGTGCCAAGATTTTCAGAGAAACCAATGCTATGAAAGAGAGTTTTTTCACCTGATCAAGTGCAGTGAAGGAATTTACATAGAAATGTTGTTTAGCATTGTGCTTCAAAGGTTAACTGATGTCAATAAGTAACCTTAAGGTTCCTCTTAAAATAATAAGATGGCAAAACCTCATATATTCTTCCCAGGATATTTTAATTTTCACTCAGTTTGCCTCAAATCTTGACATCTCTTAGTATCTATTACTAGATTTGCCGAATGACAAAATTATCAGTGGTATCGCATTGGCAGAAAAAAAGAAAAGTGTTTTTCCTAAGTCACTCTTTGTTGAGAAACCAAACCTTTTGGCAAAGAGGTTTTGCTCTTACCATCCACCTGTGATCACCCTCCTCAGTGGGTCTGATATTGGTGGTGACTCACACCCTGTCTCTGAAAAGACAGGCAGCATCTTCACGACCAGCTGCATCTCATCTGTGTCTGCTCAGGTAATCACCCACACCACAACGAACCATCTCTTAGACCAGACTAGACTAAGCAGAAATACCACGTATAGCTTAGCAAGGCCCAGCTGCACACGTTAATTGTACATAAAGCCAACTCTAGCATACTACTGACCCTAAAGACATCATAGTTGAGTACAAGATGAAAAGTGACTTTGTAAAGACAAAAATAAAGTTTCTCAAAAGAGTAAATTTTATTCATTTGGATTAAACTTTCTGAAAGAGAACTGTGAAGATATTTGGCAGTAAAAACCAAAGAACCCTGCCAAATGCATGAAGCATGACTGGAAACTAAAAGCCTACAGAAAGCAACAGAAATCAGAATATGAAGGGAAGTGTACAGAGAAAAGATTAAGGAACAAGAGGAAGGCTAAGGGGAAAAAAGTGGGTCTGAAAGATGAAGTATTACATTTGGGCTGTTTTGACAACAACACTTTGTAGAAACAGAGTGGTATTTAACCACATTAGAAACAAAGAAGGATTTAATAGTGACATAAAATAGAGAAGTAGGTCAGTTGTGGACAAACAAGAACTGAACAGAAACCTGGCTCTGGGATGCATAGAAATGACTGTGTTCTCTCTGGAGCCTTTGTGAACAGTGTCATACAGTCCTCAACACTAGCAAGAGGCTTTACTGTTCAGCCAGAACTGGCCCTGGGCCCCTCTTTGAAAACACAGCTTGGCAGTATTAGCTGCACCACAATTAACACTTCCCCCTGCATGTGAAAGTACCACATTTTCTACTTAGTGGATAGTCAAGTTGTGATAGTTATTCTTTGTTTATATGGTGAATA